TATATATATATATATATATATGTATATGTATATATATATTAGAAATTTTTTCCTTTAGTTCTTAAGTAAGAGTATATATATTGTACAAGAAGTATCTCAGTGTTGGAAAAATGTAGTGTGAAAACAAAATAATCTTATTGATTGATAATAACAATGAAATCATTAAATGAATATATCATGAAACCGAGAAAAAAGAAATACCGTTTTTTCTTCGTATTACTATTGCTGAAGTGAGATAGGTGTATATGCGTGGAGGTGCAAAAGTGTTCATCTGTGCGATAATAACTTGCGGATCGGATTAGATACACTAATACTACAATAGCTCGATTTCCGAAATTCACGGATATCAAAACCGGTTACAGTGTTTCTTGTACAGAAGTGTGGGCGTTATAGGCGTGACGTTTGACCGATTTGGATCATTTGCATATTCTTTCACACATTTGTAAGCGATGTCTTTGTTGTTGCGAGCGAGAGACCGTTTACCATAGATACTACATAGTTGAACAGACGGCCAGACGGACATAACTAGGTGATTTTCATAATTCATGGGGTTTTTGAAGCTTGCTGCTGTGATTCTTGTTTTACATAGAAAACTTTGCTGAACAATTTTTTCAATGTTTGTAGACGAACTGCAGCATTGCCCATAGAGTATAAGTTAAATTTTTTGTAGACTTATCTGCTGTAGTCTGTGGAACTAGAAAATGAGGAATGAGGAAAAAACCCATTTTGTATTTCTTTTTAAGAAGGGAGGAAGGTGTTCTGCAGGTGTGTCATTCGAGCGATTTGATCCTTACCTGCAAGAGCTTTCATTGCTTCTGCCAAATTTGAACTTCATTTTTATGGCCAGAATATATATATACACACATAGATGAATAGACGGACATGCCTAAATCGATTCGATGAAGTAAACGTTTTAATAGAACGACAAAAAGAGAAAACCGTAACAAATTCATTTAAATCGATTGGTTACCGACTTTGAACGTTTGACCTGAATTAATACGATTTTCAAAGTTGAAGTAAAACTAAACAATTTGATACATTGGGAACGGTACAAACAACGCGCTTGTAATTGTATAAAAAGAATAAGAAAAATAGTGAGTCGTCAGGTTTTCACCTTTCAGTGCATAAGTGCGTGCATTTAAGAAACTTAAAATTATAAAATAAGTAAAATTTCAATCGTTTCCTTACAGGCAGTGAGTAAGTTTATAAAAATTATATTGCTTTTGTGTGACAGTAGTTGCTAAGTTAAGTTCTGTTAATGAAATTGCTTTCAAAAGTTTGCTGAGATGTACACATGAAGTTCTCTCAGTTGTGAATATGTGAAATTATCTGAAAGAGAACTGCTCGACTGCTTCCCCGGCATGGAGCATCTCTATAAAATGACAAATTTAACTTTACGATAATCCCATGATGTATTCGACAGGATGTTATCATAGAAATTGCTCTCTATTGCGCTCTTCTATACCGCTTATAGACTATTTTTACATTTTAATTAATATTCGCTCACATTTTTTGTTTAGACAGATTCCCAACGTAAGCAGTAGCAATAGTAACTAATGGGAAGTATGGCGGTTATTGGAAGTCAACGTTTTCGGGATATCTGCTAATGAAAAAATGCAATCTTGACAATGAATCACAGGGACAGACGGACAGACAGACGGACTGACAAACTTAGATCGATTCAGAACCACCTTCTGAATATCAATCGGTATAATAAAAAGTTCGTCTGTCGCCAATCCTTCCGGATGTGTCTTGATAGGACGGCGAAAACCTCAACCCACGGAACTAGTTATTAAAATCATGAGCGCATGTTTTCTTTAAAAATTAAAAATAAATTACTTAATGCAAGTGAGTGCTCAAATGCAGTTGATGCTATTTCTGGCAACGTCATCAACGATCAACAATCATGGTAATAATGCGGCATTGGTTTTCCCGCAACATATATGTACGATGCACGGTGTATTCGTCAATTCTATGCATGGAGCATACGTATGCATATGTTCACCTATCTACGTACCCAAACGCTTTTGTTTCAGCAGTTTTATGTGTGTGTGCGATTGATTGACTTTTTATCTTTATCTTACATCATACACGCAGTAAAGGCAGTGAGTGAATGCATTTTGTGTTTGCGTGATTGTAAGGACATTTACAATATATTTCTTTGCATGCCGGAGAGTGTTATGCACTGCTTTTTTGCTATGTTGAAAATCCCGCGGGCATACTCGTGTTTCATGAAAGGACACGAAGGGGAGTAGAAACCGCGATATGGATTCTTGATGCTTTAGTATCATTTATCATAAAATCGGACAGATTTTATTATGTGGTTCTTATGTATGTGTCAGGGTTAGTTATTTTGCACGTTCTTGTTGTTCATTCGTTCGGTAAATGCTGGCGTAGAAAAAAAAAGCTGGTGTCGAAGTTCGCTGCTCGTGCCAGTCACGCCGCTTGGGTGTTTGTGGTCAGTCAGTGGATGCAATTGTGAAAAATTTTTAGCATGCGTTTCGTGTTTCCCATTCAGTAGTTGCAAGTTGCAAGTTATTAATCATATGTACATAAAGGAAAGGAGAGAACTACAGTTTCGTGAAAAGAGTTGATTACATGACCAGTCATTCAATTCCATGGGAATCGGATGCCTTTTTTTCTTCTTCTTCTTCTTCTTCTAACTATTACTTGATTGGTTTCTTTGTCGAACAAAGGGGGTAACGTCTGTGTCCGGCCGTAGGTGATCGTTTAAGATATCTTTTGTAAGGAACAACATTTCCTTTGTTTTTATGCTGCTCAACTGGGGCCTCGTAGAGTCAGGAAATAATTGATGCTACTGTCTAGGCTTAATAACGCGCCAATGTTTCCCTAATACGTATTTTGTGCTCATACAAATGTATTCCGGCATTTGTTGTCGTTTCGGGGGGCAGCAGTTGTCCTAAAATACGTACAACAACAAGAACAAATGCGAAAATTATATTCAATCGTGATCTATCACCATTATCCTAAGAAAGACTAAAAACAGGGAAAGAAGGAAATTTTCATACTCTATAATATGGGATGGGCGGGCTTGACTTTTTCCATTTTCAAGATAAAAGTGGAAATTTATATGTCGAACATTGCATAGCGTGTTGTCCTTCCACCGGTTTGGGTTATTTTCAAATACTACTCCACAGCTAGGCAGACGGGCGGATGGACATTTGTAAGCTCATTCCGCATTTGAAAGTGCCCAAGATTTTATATATTTTATGGGTTTTTTGAAGTTTGCTTCGGTGCGTTTCTAAGGTTTTGGAAAAAAATTAATATTATGATATACTATGAAATTGGGTGGGCGTGGCCGATTTGACCTATTTTGGTACATGTACTACAACATCGCCCATATGCGATGCGTTCAAATTTTCATTGGTTTGTGGGTGTGTGTGTAATATGCAAAAAAAAAAAAAAAACAATTATTCCCCTCTAGAAAATAGAGTTACTCTCACTTTACGCGACAATATAGGCGTGTCCTTCGACTGATTTGGCACAATTTGTGTGCAAACATTGAAAAATTTTTCGGGCAAAGGCAAAGGCCATAAGTACATTTTCACGTCTAGGTGAATATTTACAGCAGCGTTTACACAAGCGAACAGACGTACGGACAGACAGACACTACGCTCTTTGGGGTCTCTGAATTTTCGTTCTTGGTATTGCCAACGTGTTGACAAAAGGAGCATCATTCTTTTATCCCTTGGTGATGGGTATAAAAAGAAAATCAAATTCGCTAAATTTGGATCGCGCCATTTGACCCTCTCTCTCCACACTCAAATATATGAGTTTGAGAGAAGACAAATGTGTGAAAAATTGTGTTATGCGAAGTGATGTAAGCTGCATAAGGGTCGGCCTTACCCGACGATAACGTTTT